GAGAGAGAGAGAGAGAGAGAGAGAGAGGTGACAGCTGCCTGTGTGAATTAGCATCTCTCCAGTAGGCTATTTAATCTATTTTATTAATAAAAGCCACGGGGCAGCATTCTCAAGAAGTTTGTGTCCTCCTTAATGTTTGTACACGTGCGCAGCGCGATCTCCAATCTCACAAACCAAAATAATAGACATGATTTTCTCAGGCCACATGTAAAATCATATGAATTATTATAAAGATTAATCCCTAGTGCGGGGCACGGCAGATTTACCACCTTAATCTCCTTAAAAAATGGAATGAGGCGGAGTCAGAGTCAGTGATGCATGGTGGTGTGCAGCCGGTCATATCGTTTGCCTGAATATTAGAAAAAAAATGTTCAGACCGAATTAGAGGTCGATGCTAGACATGGGAGTAATAGAAGAATCCCACAGTGATTGGGCGAGCCTGATAGTTTTAGTTCCGAAAATGGACGGCTTGGTAACGATTCTGTGTGGATTATCGCAAGGTGAACACTGTGTCGAAATTCGATGCATATCCAGTGCCACGGGTGGATGAGTTGCTTGATCGGCTTGGAACAGCTTGTTTCTATTCAACACTGGATTTAACTAAAGGATATTGGCAGATCCCCTTATCGCCTATGTCCAAAGAAAAATGTTTTAGCAACATTTTAGCAAGCAGCACCAGAAAAAACAAAATGGCTGCCGCATGTAATACCAATGATGATTCAGTAGATGGAACTGACTGTTTGAAACCATATTCATTGAAGTGAATATGTTTTTATAAAAATTTGCTCAACCTAGGTGGAATTTGTATGTATTGTATGAGTATGTGATTTCGTATGATCTGACTCTTACCGAAACATATGACATACAACATCAATATTTGAAGGAGCGTTAGCAGATCATAAAAAAAAATAAAAATAAAAATAATAACTACAAAGGAGATTGTATGCATTCATTTGAATTTATAACCTACTCACCAATTTGTAAAATACTTACGTATTGCCATGGGATTGTTTTTAAGTTTGATATACTCTTTTTATATGTGACCCAAATGAGATAAGAAAAAAAAATCATACTAGTTTTGTGTACTAATGAATAAAGTCATAAATAACTTGCCACTAATAATAATTTAAAAAAGTACCATAGTGCCAAACACCACAAGAAAATACCTTCAGAGAGTATGATTGAACACACTGTCTATTGATAAATGCAATGTTAAATCGGAAGACAACCACTTATATGGGATATTGGCAGTAACCTCACTACTTACAATAGAGATACATTTTATTATTTGCATTCAGCATTGTTTTCCCCTGCTGTCTGCGAGAAGAGACCTGCGCTCCATTTTTGGGTTGTTACCCATCAAGGAACTATTTTAAGAGGGTATATCCAGCATGTGGATGATAAATATCAATATTGTGTTTAATTATGTGTGTGTTTATGAACTCAACTCCAGTCCAAAGAAAAGTCATTGTGTATTCTTATGTATTGCTGTATTGTCACAGCGTCACAGTTAGTGATCTTTAATTTCTTGAACGCTGCCAAGGCATATTCCTGGCGACTGACACTATATCTGCCAGCCTGTGGTGGCTGGACTATAAAATCCCTTTGCCTCAACACCCGGTTGTTCTGCCTCCTGTCCGTGACCATCAGCCAGACAGAACCCAGGTATGATATCCAAATTTTAAATAATTAACTTAGCTGTAAAACTTGTCATTTGTGTCTGATAAATTTATTGTTTTTTTATTATTATGTATTTGTTTTGTAGGTTTCATCTGAAATCTCTGATTGAGTTTCTTTTTAGCAGTTCAACAAGATGGCAAAATGGGCGAGTAAGTACAACTTAAAAAAAAAAAAGATTACATTTGATGGACAGCACATAAACATACTGTCACGCCCCTGGACTCATTGTGTTGTGTTTTCCCTCCCCAGGTGTGCCGTGTTCCCTTTAATTAGTCATTCCTTGCACCTGTGTTTTCCCAATCACCCAGGGTTTAAAAACCCTAGTTCTTTCAGTTGGTTTTTGTCGGAGATTGTTCATCTTCCTGTGTGTGTCCTATGCTCCTATCTGTCCCGTGTACCCAGTGGATTATTGAATTAAAGGGGTCATATGATGCAATTTCAATTTTTCCTTTCTCTTTGGAGTGTTACAAGCTCTTGGTGCATAAAGAAGATCTGTAAAGTTGCAAAGACTAAAGTCTCAAATCCAAAGAGATATTCTTTATAAAAGTTAAGAGTCAGCCACGCCTACCTAAAACGGCTCGTTCTAACACGCCCCACATGTCTATCACCGTGGACGAAGCGGAGTTCAGCCCGAAGTCGTCACATGTCCTTCTGGACGCTCCTTCGTCGAAATCGCCGTCCGCGTCGTTCTCAAACCCACCCGCCTCTGCTCACTCTAACCCTCCCGCCGTTCCTCACGCTAGCCCCCGGCCTCTGCTCACTGTAGGCTGCCGTGTGTGACGCTGTTTCTTCGTGAAGCGAAACTACTTTGTTTGGCCTTCCAAAAATGGACACGACTAGAAATCAGTGGTTAAGTTGTATTTACAACACTGTTCCAGAACACTTCAACCCAAATATTCAGATGTGTGCAACGCATTTTATTTTATATATTTAAAGCGAGTTTTTTGGGCAGTGTAGAGTAGACATGGTTTTATGTTTACGCAGGTAATCATCATGTGGAGTAGGAAAGCAAAAACAAACAGAGCAGAAGGAACCATGATCAAACCTGAGTTCTGACGATTGGTTGCATACTTCTGAGGGTACATGTACTAACCAAAAAAACTGCTACTGAGATGAATGGATAATCTAATAGATAGCTTTTTTGAGGTATTATGCACCTCACTGGTAACTTAAATTTTGTATTCCTTTGATTTTAGATCAATGAGCTTAAGTTGAAAGTTCAGGATCTAGGCGGGAAGTTCAAGAAACCCGCCCTAAGGAAGGTGCGTGTGTCTGCTGATGAGATGATGAGGGCCCTTCTGGGCTCCAAACACAAAAGCTCCATGGACCTCCGTGCAAATCTGAAGTCAGTCAAGAAGGAGCATATCAAGCAAGAAAAGGTGGGGCGATTAAAAACCAAAACAGTTCATATGAATAACCACATTTGCAATGCATTTAACTTTCACTATGTGATGAATTAGTATGAAAAACAGAATATTCAGTGGGAAATATTTTACGGTGGGATTTGATTATGTTCATCAGGATTTGAGTGGATGGTGAAAAGTGAGCTGAGATATTATTATACTATTTTCACCACATGTGCTTCCTTAGTTCCCTTTCGATACTACACTCGTACTGCGTCTGCTAGACGCATATGGGAAAAACCCTTTTTTTCTCCTGAAGTGAAGCCTTCTTCATTCACGCAGTGAAACTGCATGGCCAGTGGTTCGTGCAGTGTATTAAAAAACGAACCAATCGCTAGGCAGCGGAGCTGCACGAGCCTATGGCGACGAAGCCCGCCAAAATGGGCGGGGCGTCTGGCTATATAAGCGGGCGTTCACCACAGGATTCTCAGATTTCTTCTCCTTCAGCGATGACTCTACGCTCATCGCTGATCCTGAAAGCCTGCTCGCCGTTGACACGCCTTCGCAGCTGGAATCGGGACCTCTCAGCACAGCTGACCTGCTTCTCCGCCACTACAGCGACGCAGCAGTTCCGGCCCGTTTCCCCTGCCGCCATCCGGCAATTCTGAAAGAGCTTATTTCTAGCAGGTAAACCCTAAAAGAGCAAATTCTAGCGGCGTTGTTGCAAATGTCGCGCTGCGAGTGTCGCTCGTGCAGGGAAACTTGCACGATGCAGAAGAGCAATGAGTACGTCATCTGTCTGGGCAGACCCCACGCA